GTAACCAGGTTCTTTCTGTTCCCCAGCACCTTCTCTAGCTGTCCCTCTTCCGTGATCCAGGAGGTCTCCTTGTGCATCATGCCAGTGAAGCTGCATGCTCACAGATACTTCTGAATTAAGCAACTTCCTCCAGCAACTCCCTTAATTGGGGTCAGGACTAGTGGGGCTTGAACCCAGGTCTTCTAGGCAGGGGTGCAAGGTACAGCATTACCAGGAGAATACCTATGCACCAGGCCAGGCCATCACATGTGAGTCTTCATAGGGGATCTGGTGATTTGGAAGGATCAATAGGAGCCACAGGCCTGTCACAGCTGTAGGTGTTGTAGGGTTTGCTACTACTGCCCTGAGCTTGTTTGCTTGCCTGCAGGTGGCAAGAGGGTGGACCTCGGCTTTGGATCACCTGGTCTGCCAGGAAGTTGGTTTTATGTTTTCTCGCCTGCCGTGACTTTGATGAAATTATATTTCCAGGAGGTACTGTCCATGGTGATCCTGCCTAGTCTCAATCCCTGTTCCTTCTGTGGGGCTCCAAACCTCCCCTTTACCCCAGCCTAGCCTCTCCAGATGGTACTCAAAAGTCCTTCTGTAGCCAGGTCGCAGTACTGCCTGTTGTACTATTGTCTGGCCCTCTACCCCACGGTGACCTCTGGTCTTGATTAGATACACCCTTCCAGGGCTAGTCTTGGCTTGAGCTCAAAAAATCAAAAGAAAAGGCAAAAAAACGCAAGGAAAACCCCGACTGCTCTCAGCCTCCTTGTCAAGCTCAGTCTATGTCCCCTTTCACCTGGGGTCAGGATCTCAAATCCCAATCACAATGATCAAGTTCCTTAATCCAGTCTCTGTTATGCACAGGCCTGCCCTGCTCCTCTGTGAACAGTCACAGTCTCATTGGGATCTCTACCTGTAACCGCAGTTTTCCTCAGGCTTCTTCTCCGGATCCTCTGCTGACGCTCCGCTCCGGAGATTATCAAAGGCCATGTGTGTTCTCTCTCCCGGATCCTCAGCTAAGGTTCCCCTCCAGAGCTTATCACCAGCCATGTGTGTGCAGGCCTCCTGCTTAGGGTCACTCCCACAGCTTCCTCTGGTAAGTTTTGCAACCCTTGCCTGCCAGGATGCTCAGCCACTCCTCTCTCCCTGCAGGGAACTGACACCCGCTCTGCCCCTCTCCAGGGCCGGAAATACCTCTGGGCAGCCTCTCTCTTCCAATCCTGAGCAAGATGCTGCTCCGGAAGTGTGGTGGGTGTTTCTCTTCCCTTCTGGTCTCCAGCTGCAGCCCTGCCTGCCCTCCATGCTGTGAGTTTTGCTTGTTTTCACTCTCTCCCTCTGTTGTTGCAAGCTGCTTTCCTTCTCCTAACCTCCTCTGCCCAGCACATAAGACACCTCGGGACTTCTGTTCGCTCTCTCTCACTCCTTCACAAGGCCCCTAATAAGAAGGCTATAAAACCCTCCTCACTTCCTGCAGGATGCTGTCCCTGCTGCAACAGTTCCACTATTTCTGCTGTGAACTCTGGTGCCTGACTCCAGTGCTCCCACTCCTGCCTCCCACCCTCCTGTCCTGTCCTATCCCACCTCTGCTTCAGATCCTTGTACCTTGCTCTGGCCTCCCTCCTGCCTGTTGGATTCATCTGCTCTCAACCTCTAGCCTGACCTTGACAATGGACTCACTTGATCCTCTGGCATGACCCACTGGACTCAGACTGACACTTGGCACTTCAACCCTCAGCTTGGCTTCTGGTCTTGTGGTATCATAGACCCTCAGTTTCTGAGCTCTGACTCCCCAACATCCAGGTCATACCTATGACACCTGGTTCCGGAAGGAATCCACCAGGAAACTTTAATGACACTGCATATACTGCCCCACTGGCTGTCATTGGCAGAGACATGAACGCCATAGTCCTTGCAAAGCCAGAGCAGGACCTGGGTAGAAAGATTAGAGGTCAGTGGGTTTCCATGGACAAAGCCTGCATAGGTACAGAGCAAGAGCTGGCAATTGTGGTAGTGTTGGCATTGCAATGTCTTTCAGCCATTTCACTGATTCTTCTGATACTAATACCTCCTTCCATCCCCACCCTGATGGTATCCAGCAACCTTGTGGTGTGAAATGCTACAGCACAGTTGGGGGAATCTCCACCATGAAATCTCCCACTCAGACTTCCCTGTTAGTGGCATGTTGCCTGACTCCTGATGCCAGATACTCCTTACATCACTGGGAACTCTGGCTGGCTTGGCCATTTTGCCTGGCCAAGCCCCACCTCCTGTTCACACTGCTATCACTTACCAGGCTTAGCTGCTGAGAGCAGCTTTTTGCTCACTGTCCCACACAACCCTGAAAAATAGCACCTAATTGATGCCACATCATAAAGCAAGCCACACAGGCCCACTGCTCACCAGACCTCTGACCTACAACCAAGGCTTACTATTCCTCTCCTATGCAAGAGCTACTATTCAAACTACCCATTAGCTGGCCACTTCCCTGGCTCTCTCCTTGTGTTGAATAATATGGATCAAGTCATGGAAAGTTCCCAGTGCCCTGCACCCTCTAACTCAGTGTTTTTCAGCCTTTTTTCATTTAAGGACCCCTTTGGAAATTTTGAATGGAACTGCCAACTCCTGTGAATTGTAAGCGTGAGTATTCACATAGTGTTGATTGATCATAGTCATCTTTCATGGACCCCTTAGACATAGTCCATGGACTCCCAGGGGTCCACGGACCACAGGTTGAAAACCACTGCTCTAGCTCAACGGCGCTCAACTTTTCAGCCCTGAGGGTCGAATGGATGGCTGCAGTCTGGTGCACAGAGCCACATTATCCAGCCCCTGGACTACACATGGGTCTGGAAATTTTAGCAGGGGAGTAGCAATTAAAGCTGCCACTGCTTCTCTGCCACAAATATCCCCACAGGCTGGATCTATCTAATGGGCCGGACATTGAGCACCCCTGCTCTAGCCCTCCTGAGCTGCTCTGAGACTTTCTGGAGCATTTCTAGAACCCCATAGGCTCAAGGTAGTGGAATGAGTGTCTGGTCGTGTGATACAAATGTCAGAGATGCCCAGCAGGAAGTGTGTAGGATGGGCTCCCCTGGTGGAGGGCAAAGGGAGATCTCTGTGCCAAGGCAGCAAGGCCTCTCCACACTGTGCCCTGACCTAATTCCTGGGGGGTTACAGAACTGCTGCAGATTGACCTAAGCAGAAACAGAGTCACGTAGGCTAAAAGCAGCTGGAGGATGGCAAAGGGTGATGCTAAAGAACAGAGGGACTGATTCTAGCCCTTGGGGCTGTGAAAGAACTGAGGAAGCTCTTTTGGCCCAGGTACAAACAGCTCAGTTCTTCCTTGCATGCTGACTAGAGATCATGCTGGGAAGAGCCATAGATCTGAAGTTTTTTGCAGCACTCGATCTTATAGAAATTATGGCCCATGGCACAGCCTGTAGGCAGACTGTGGAACACCAGTAAATGAGAACAGCTGCTTCAACTTGCAGCAGGGCCTTTTTGATTCCCATAGCAGTGCTGAGGATAAAAACCATTTCACCCTGTCTCTACTGTGCCTCCTAGAAGAGTGAGTGCAGAATCCCTAGTGTGGGGGTGTCTCCTGATACCACAGTGATAATCAGGGAGCAAGCTGAAGGAGGCTTTGGAGCCCATCTAGCTTCTCCTTCTGCAAGGGCAGGGCAGGCAGCCCTCCTTTCATATATTTGTGGGTGCTCTGCACAGGCTGATGTTACCATCAAGCTTCCTGCTGCTCCCTGTGCAGATTGGCCATTTTCCCTTCCTGGTGTTCAGCCCCTGGGCTGACTGTGGCAGGGCACCAGTGGTGCCTGCCACTTTAAGGGCTAGATCAGGGGCAGGCAATTATTTTGGGCAGAGGGCCACTTACTGAGTTTCGGTAAGCCATCGAGGGCCACATGACAGGCAGCCCAGGGCAGATTAAGATTAATTTTCTAAATTTTTTAGGGGCCCCGCAGGCTGGATAGAACAGCCCAGCGGGCCGCATCTGGCCCCTGGGCCACATTTTGCCTGCCCCTGGGCTAGATCAAGCAGCCAGCAGGTGTTTGATTATGGTGGCCATTGTAGAACTCTGGCCATCTATATAAACAAGAGCAGTTTGCTGCTGGGGACAGGCAAGAAACATCACCTAGCTGAGCTGCTGCATGGGAACATCTTGCAGGTAGGAGCAGGAGGATCTGGTCTTGGGCTTGACCTAAAACTGCACCCAGCTGGGAGTGGATGGTCTGGGGAGACTCCCAGTGGCATGGGAGCCCCCAGGACATACCAGGCCAGTTACCCAGCCCTCACCTTTGTGTGGGTTATATGACCCATTTAATCCAGGGAAGGCCAGGTAAGCTTCTTGAAGTGCCTGAGCCTGCTGGGGTGAGTGACCCTGCAGGACCAGGCACGCTTTGTAAAGCACCTGAGCCAGGAATGTGGGATCCTGATCCCTGAGTGCAAGCAGGCAGCATAGACCTAAACCAAGGGACCTAACTGGTCAATGCTGGGGCCAGGACTGAGATAGGGGTCAAAAGGGCCAGCAGCCCACTGCAGGAGATGCCCATTTAGAGCAGAGAAGCTTGTGGTCCTGACTGGCCTGAGACGTGGCCAGGCCTTAAAGGGAAGCCGAAGGTCCCAGGGAAGGGGCCACAGCTAATGGGGCAAAGCCATGCCACAGCACCCAATGAGTGCTCACTGCACGCGGCCTGCAGAATGAATCAGTGCTGAGCACTACAGTACAGCCCCCCCACTGTCCCTCTTGTGGTGGACATAGCAGGCACTTGTCCATATAATGTGTTACCAAGGGCTGTGTGAAATTTCACCAGCTGTTTCATTTCAACACTGTTTTGACTCGTTTCGAGCTCAAAACAGCAAAATTGAAATGAAATGAAGGGCTTCAAAACAGCCTCAAAACGAAATGGGGGCAGTCAAAATGTTTCAAAACTTTTGAAAAGTTTTGAGTTTCAAAGCTGAAGCTGGGCTTGCCTACAGGGAAACAGAAAGTAAGGAGAGGGAGGGGGAAGAACTGCTCTGATATTGACTGTGATAGTTTGGCTGCCTGAGATGCTGCTGGTGCTACTGTGCTGCTTACTAATTGCCTGTTATCATTTAAAGTGGAGGATGGGATTAAGGCTGGAGGGGAGGAGAAAGCCTCATTGAGGCACACTACTGTCTCTTGTAGGGGCCCCAGCACCAGTGAGGGCACACCTTAACTAACTCACTCACAAAAACACCTCCACTCACACATCCCCCACGTTTTGCTTGTCAGCAGCTTGAGGTGCAGTTTCCCAGGAACCCCTGCACCTTCTCTGGCTGAGAAGAGCTTCTTCCCCAGTGGAGTGAGGTGGAGGCCGTCTCTTCCCAACAGACCACTGCCTCTCCCTCTTAAGAGCGGACTGTGGTCATAGAAGCAGAAGCCTTCACGGTGGCACCAGTGCTGAAGTCTTCTGTTTACTGCCTTGATTCGTCTCTCCCTCTTTCCATGATGCATAACTGGAAGGATCAAGGAGGGGAGGTTCTCAATTGCAGCTAGCAGGGGAAGTTTTTTTTGAGAAATGTTTTTTTTAGGAGAGGGGCAGGTTCTCTTTAGTGTCTGGAGAAAGAGGGATAGGGACCACCCCTGGGCCTGTGGGAGAGCTGGGCAGCCTCTGTGGCAGCTGGAAGCTCCCTTTAGGAGTAGAAGAAAGGAAATGAGTTGAGGGAAACAAGGGAAAGGAGCTTAAGGGGAATAGGAGTCTCTTCATGGCAGCTAGGAAGTGAGGGGAGGGGAAAAACACAGAAAAGAAATGCAAGGGCTTTAGTCCTTTAAAGGGTGACTGGCAAAAGAGAAGAGGAATGGAGAGGGCTGAAGGTAGAGAGTTGAGGAAAAGGCGGCAGGGGAATTACTTGGCAGTGGAGGGTACCTGTGGGAAGGGGGTTTCTCTCTTTTGCAGGAATGGAAAGGTTGTAGGGAAGGAGATGCAAAGGGGGAGCCTTTCTCCTGGAAGGGGGGGACCTGGGGAAGAAGTGCAGAGTAAGAGGAAGAGGGTCTGGAGGAAAGGTGGTGATGGGGAAGGGACACTTGGAGGAGAGGTAGGACTTCTTTGATTTAAGGGAAGGGACCATAGACAAGTGCTGGGGGAGGGGAGGGGAGGGGAGGAAGACTAGGTATAAGGTAAAGTGTGGGTATGTTCTTCATGGTGACAGAGAAGGGGTGTAAGGAGGGGACAGATGGATAGGATAAAAGGGAAGGGGTGAAGACTATATAGATACACCCTGGGGTTTGGGGAGACCTGAAAGGGAAGGAGTGTTTATATTCTCAGAGAATGGAGGGGCAGGAACTGGGATAGTGGGCTTCTCCCTGGCAGGAGAACTGAAAGAAAAGCCAGGATTTGGAGGGGCAGGACAGATGAAAGAAGAGGACAGACAGCTCAAGGTTTTATTCCATTCAAGAAGTAGGTACTTTATAGATGGGGAGAGCTGGAAGGCATGATGGGAGAGATGGGAGCAGAGAGACCTATTTGGAGAGGGAAGAGGTGAGGCTGAGAAGGTACTGTGTAGGAAAAGGGAAACGGGAGTTCTTCTCTCCAAAGGCCTGGGGTGTAGGAAGGAAGGATGGGAAAATGAAGTCAGAGAGGTGGGACTTTCCCTCTTTCCAGAGGAAAGGGGGCAGGGTTCTTCCCTAAAGGGCTAGGCTAGGAAGCCAAGAGGAGGGAGAGGACATACAGAGGGGGAAAGAGGCAGCTGCTGCTAAAACTCCCTCCCCCTTGTGTGGGCACAGAAGGCCCCTACTCCCCTGCAACAGGCAACAGCAACAAGTACAGCCACTGGGTGCAAGGACTAATTTAACGGAAAGAGCAGCAGCTACAATTGCTCACAGGAGCAGAACTGGAATGACAAGTGGAAGGTTGATGGGCCTTCTTTAAGTCAGAGAGCACAGGATGCTAGAGGTAAAAGGATATGATAGGTGTGCAATGGGTGGGGGAGGCAGTCTCCCCATGGAAGGGATGGTGGGATATTTCTGGTTGGGGTATGCCCTTCAGAGGAGGCAGAGGGATGGATCTGTGTATGGGTAAAAGAAAACTGAAAATAAACCTCTACTGAACTGCAATGGATAGAAAAGTGTTGCGATCAAACTACTATGCGCGCCTGTGTCGGCCCATAGCAGAAAAAGAATTGCTGCTTTTAAATATTCAGGAAATTCACATATTAAGAAATTAAGATGGATGTGGAAACAATTATCAAATTGTACTTTTATGTGAACAATTTTATCTTAATATACTAATATCCTAGATTTTCCATTATTAAGACTGAAGAAATGTTAAGATATGCAACTGTTAATGGAAGTAGCATTATTTTTTAAATCAAATACTTATTAGACTGCAAATAACTACATGGCAAGTGCTTGTGTATATATATTATAAGCACTAGGGCCAGTGAAGTTTGTAGAACTATTCATGCAACTCAAGTTCTATAATAATTCAAATAAACTGCTGGAACAGGAGTTTAAGCTTTTGCTTCTAGCCGTTTTAGCAACTTCAAACCAAAGGGTGTAGGCAGGGCAAGGGAAGAGAATTGGGCAGCCAGTCAATTAATGCTTTCCTATGCACTCCACCTCCACTACCCAGAACCCACCCTGAACCAGGAGCCCAGAAGCCCCACGCCCCCCACTACCTTACTCCTCTCCTGGTTTAGCGGTGAGAAGGGGAAGAGAGGGAAAGGATCGCTAAGATTTTGAAGCACTCCAGCACTTCAGCAAACAAGCCCCAAAGGCCAGAGCTGCTGGATGAGGGGGGCCATTCTTAGAATTAAGCCACATTTTAAACCTACCAGAACCAAGACGCAATGACCACAATATCACACGTAGAACTACCCAGCCTGCCTAGACTCACTCAGCTTGCACACCTGAAAAATCCCAGTCCTGGAGGTACTGCAGACACGAGCTGAGTCTAATACTTGCTGATGGGCAGTGTCTTTGAAGGCTGGATGCTTTGAGAACAAAGACCTACGTGTCATGATAGTTCTGCTCTACTGCATATGTAATGCCTTTGGCCATTTCAGCACACAGCTGAGCATGTCAGAGAGAACAGTGTGATAAGTGAAGCAGGAGACAGACAGGAAGCCAGAAGTATGGACTAACCCAAACAGTCCTGTCAATAAATAGTTTAATGAAGTTACATGTCTGCAGGAAAACACAGTGGCACCCACTATGGCCCCCACCTTATGTCCTGTCTTTAGGCAGGGCTCAGAAACTCACAAACCCAACTGAACAAACACCTGCATTGCAAGGACACCATAATGCACTGATCTTCACAGAAGATGCCAATTCAGGCCCAAACAGTTGCACATTTGATCCTTCCCCCAGAGGGAAACACCGTCTTCCTCCAGCTCCTCATTCTGCTCCAGCCAAGACATGCTTCAGGGACCATGCATTCAGTGGGCATGTGGGTCCCAATCCACATATGCCGAGACAAGACATCTCAGGGAGAGTGAAATGAGGGGAAGGGGTGGTGGTGACCGCACTCTTGGATTGCTCGTTTCCAGCTGTGCATCTTGAAGATGGTACTTGCAGATCAGGGCCAGCCCTTAGAAAGGGAGTCGCTTCAGTTGCTCGTAGGTGATAAAAAACTTATAAGCGTTGTCAAGGAGCTGAATCAGACACGCTATGCAGCCTCCTCTAACCCCCACATCAAAGCACTAGCAGCCCTGTGCTCTCCCCCTCCCGCTAAGGTCAAAGATCTGACTCAGAGGGTTACTTCTACTGGCCTCTTCACAGGTAGATACCCATGAACAGATAAAAAAGCAGCCAGGGAAGCTGAAGGAATTTCCCTTTACAGTAGTTTGGACAGTTCTGCAATATAGCTAATGCTACTAGAAGGCAGGGCCCAAGTTGGGAGAGTTACAAAAGGGCAAACACTGCCCAGATTTTTCACAAGTAAGACAAAATGTTAGGGAGCTGCAGTAGTGAAAAGCAGGGGAGTCCCAGGCCCCAGCTGGCTCCACTTCATCTCTCCAGGACATATGCTTTTTAAGCTTGGAAGAAGACATAATATTCAGAAACGGATCCAGTACAAAAACAAAGCTACAATGAGCCTGTAGACCAGGCCCAGCACCCAATCCATGAAATACAAGAACCTGAGCAAAATTTAATCCCAGAAACTCGAGTATGCCCAGGCACTGGCTCCAGTCAGTGGGCTCAGCACAGAGAGAGAAGTCTTGCTCAGTCCAAAGGGTGCACTCACCTTAATGAGGGTTGACGAACACCTAACAACTCACAATCTTGGCTTCACAAGGAATAGCCACTCAAAGGGCATTAGGAACCACAACTCACCCTTCACGTGGGGTTTTTTTACTCTGCAATAAGCTCAGTGGCACTCTATTGTGCACCTTCTATTATCTAGGTAGAGCAGGAAATGCATCAGAGTCAATCCAAGGATAAGCAGGGCCTGACTCGATGTAGTGAGTGGGACCAGGCTGCCTACCACGTTGAGAACCTGTCCACACTGTGCAGCTTTCAGTCTCATCTTTCCCAAGCTACCCATCCCTGCTCTCCCTCCCAGCCACATGCTGAAGGATACAATGATGTTCCAGGGTCCAAGCCGAAGCCAGTTGGGCCAGAATCCTTTATAGAGGGCAAAGAACCCCTCGCTCTTCCAAGTCTGCAGAGACACAAACTAGCCATAAGATAATAACCAGCCCCTTCCACAGGCTCTGCAGAACAGCAAGAGTCATGGCAGGATGTTTTTTCTGGCCGTGACACCAGTAACTGCTGTGCCAGAAGGTTCACATTTCACCAAGATACAAGTTCAAGGGGATAGACATGCTTTCCCACCCCCATCCGTGTATCATTCCCCCAGTCTGAAGTACTCCAGGCCAGCTGCCTGTTGCAAAGCAAGATCTTGGCAACTCCTTTGCTCTGTCCATCTCCCCAGCTGACAGGGGAAGACAGAGATGGGGAGCTCCTAAGCCCCATCTTCCTTGCTCAGCTCTGGCTGCGATGCTCCCTCAAGTCCATTCTGCGGTTTGTGCCTTTTACTGCTGGGATTAGAACTGCATGCAACATCTGTCTATCCAGGCTCAAAGGGACTCCATGGATGTGGCCTCACCTGCTCAGCTCTACCCGGCTTCTTACCTTCACAAGACCATCCAAAGTGCCTTTGTAGAGCTCCACACTCCCCACTACTGCTCGCTGGTTCATCATTCGGGTCCGCACCACGTCCACAGGGTTGGAGGCAATGGCTCCAGCCAGCCCACACGTAAAACTGGAACTAAATATCAGACCATTAGAGAAGCTGCTGCAGACCCAGCAATTCCTGGCCTGGACTTGGTGACATGACTCAGACACATGAATACAGCAGGAAACACACCCTCCATTGGCCTATGTGGGAGGATGTAGTGACAAATGTTAGCTGCATTCTCCAGTCTCATGTGGTCTGGTGCCATGCAAAAAGACATGGTGCAGGCAAGATGCACAAGCCATCACCTGAATAGGAAATGCACTTTTAACAAACCAACCCCTTTCCTGAGCCCATTCTCCAGAGTTGACAAGCGTCTCCCGAGATGTTCATGAAATTGGGGAGGAAGACTGCTCAGCCTTTTCTAACCACAGTCAAGGACCATCTGCAGTTTCTTGTTGCTTCCCTCCAAGATCTGCTGAGGGCTGTGGAACTTCAGTCATGGCAGGTGATCATGGGCTCATGATAGGACTGAACTCAAGGACAGGGAAAAAACATGCTGGCACAGCCTCTTGAAGCTTTCCTCAGAGCACACGCTGCTTTGGGTCTAGCAGAGAGAGCTGAAGCAGGGCTGAGGCAGCAACAAGGAAAGAAAAAGCAGGTAGCTCTTCCTCGTCTCCTTCTTGCCGTGCTATCATGACCATCACCACCACAGCCTTCGCATCACTTCCAGAGAAGTTCTGCCAGAAAAATCACGTCCGAGGACCACCCAGCAGCAATGGCCTAGAACCCATAGCAGAGCATATTTGTGGAGAGAAGTTTCTAGGACAGTAACAGTCCACTTCATGTGCCTGTACCCACAGCATAAGGTCCCCGTTTGCTTGTCCTCCCTGCACTGTTTGCTGGGGGAGCACATGTCAGGAAGAGGAAGGCTAAAACCAGCATTTCTAAAGAATCAAGTGTCTGAGGTGAAAATGTAATTGGAAATTCCTCCTGCCCCATCAGTATACAGTCTGGCTCAAGAGGTTGGAGGATCTACACTTTTCTTGCCTCCATGAATTCCAAGAAATGGATGCCATCTGCAGAGCTATAACCCTTGACCATAGCTAGGATACAGCCAAGGTACTGGCATTGCTTTTATTGTATGTGAAACCCTGGACTGGTTCTTGGCAAGGGCTACGTAGCAAGACATAGTCCCATCCTGCTTTTCTCAGACTGGTAATGCTTCAACTCCACATACCCATATCCCAGACATTGGTAGGCCTAGAGTATGGAAGTGATCAGAGATACTCACATGAAGTGGGCAAGAACTGTATCTCCCATCAACTCTGACAGAATTAAGTGCTTCTTGGTGATGTCATAGACTGGCAATTCCACTCCAACCACGATGGCAGCTCTCTGTGCAGTGGGGACCACACCCTGCCAACCAAACACCAGCTTTGCAGTTACAGCTGCAAATCACTGCCTGGGGCCATGCAGAAAACAAAACACTCAGCAAGTCCCTCTCCTGGGTAATCCGCTCTGCATGCTTCTGGCCGCATTTTCCAAGAACCTGCCCTAATATGCTAGCTGCCTCGTCCCTTGATTAGGAGAGGCCTGTTGGCTGCCAGTTTACAAATCCAAAGCCAGAGCCTTCTTTCCTCTCCAGATTCCAAGTTACATTCCCTTTAGTCTAATATTATTTCTTCAAGTAAGTTATTCTTCTCCCAACCTCTAGCCTGGCTGAATTAAGCTCTTTGCCTGCCCTCACCTACTCCAAACAAATTGGAGTAGGACCTTGGATTCAAGGTCCTTGAATCAATTTGACTTCTACGAAGTGCACCTGAAAATCTGGATGACAGCAGATTCACTTGGAAGCAAAAGAGGTAACTATACAGCAGTCAGGTCCACCCTGTCGTGTGGCAGGAAGGTGACAGGACTCAATACTTTTGTCTTCTTTGTCTGTCACTAAGGGGTTTGTGAGAGCCTGGGGAAGGCTGTGGAGTTTATGGAAAGCACCCTGATTCGAGAGCAGATTACAAAATTATGAAAAAAAACCATGCACAAACTGGAATCCAAGTTGCTACCTGAACACTGACTCAAGTGTCCTGCAAACACTGTCAGTGGCAAGACACTGGCAAGAGAATAGATGAGAACTTCCTTGGGCTGAAGAGAAAGTCGTGAGATACTGGGAGCATGCAGGTGGCTATGCTGATGGGGCCACGTGGGTCACTGCTTTAGACATTTAAAGAATTACAGGCATCAAGGCTCTGGCAATTGCCTTCTTAACCAAAAGGTACAGCCCTCTAGTCTCTGGCTTCATGGAAAATCTTTTAATACATCTAGTCTACAAAAAGGTCCCAAAAGACATGTGGCTTTTGGAGCACATGAATCAAAAGCAGGCTCTGAAAGATGGGTGTAAGGTTCCTGTGGTCCCTTGAGCAGCTTCACATCTATTCTATCCCCTCGGGCTTTTCTCTAACCCACTCCAAACTCGGCCTGTTCTGGCATTGTCCGACCTCTGGGGAACCAGTACCAAAGCCAGAAAAAGTCCAAGACAACATAGGCAGCCTTATCTCAGAGCAAAGGGAACGGGAGAGAAAGAGGCCATTGTGTGCCATCTAGCCATCACCCCTAATATACCCACGCATGACTAACCTGGCTGTGCACTGTATCCTGCCTGCAGAATGAGTCAGTAAAACAGACATTTTCTTCTCTTTTCTATCCTCTTCTCCCCTCCTGCATGCTTTTGTGTAGAGAGCAAAAATAATCTTAACAGTAAACACTGAGCCAAAACCAACACTGGGATGACTCCTCCCTTCTGGAATCCCAGTACTTTCATTCTCTCCAGATCATGTTGATTTATTGTATGAGTGAGATAAGCATTTCTCTGGCAAGGTTACGTGTAACAGCAAGTCCACAATACACAACTAGCCCACACACCCACACCCTGCCAACCCAAGCTCTGCACTCCCATTACCCCTCTGGGTGTGATCTCTGCATTGCCGCCAGTCCAGCGCCATGCTCCGCACTCCCACCCAGCTGCAGCTGCCCACCTCCACCTCACCCCCCACCACCACTTCCCTACCTGATGCCCAGAGTGAACGGGATGCTGGGGAAGCCAACCAGGTCCCCTGGTGGCCTGCTGCTGCCACTGCTGCAGCAGGCCACCCAGAAGCTGCTTGCTGGCTGGGCCAGGCCCTTCCACACATGAGAGTGGGAGCGAGGTGCAAATGGGTATGTTGGGAAAGAGGGTATGTACACATGTATGAGGCTGGGTGAGGTACAATTAGTTGATGGAAACCCACAGGCCGAATGAAATTGGCTGACAGGCCAGATCCAGCCCACAGACCATAATTTTGCCCAACCCTGAGTTAGAGATAGAGGGCAGGCTAGAATAGAAGGCAGATATGAAGCCAGTCAGGAGTGCCAACCTAATTTCCCCACCCTCAGATAATTAATTTCTTTGCACCAAAGTATTCTATTAGCAGGATCCATGGGAGACAGCAAAAGAGGTCTTGCTTGAAATTCCTCCTCTTCGATGCAGAGCTCTTGGGGTTGGAGGCCTGACACAGCTCCTCCCAGCTGGTCTCTCCACCAACTTAAGAGGCACCCCAGGCTGAGTAACCCTCCAAAGAAGAGTAGGGGGAAGGGGCAAGTCCTGGTAACAAGGCAGCTCCAGGTAATGTTTGCTGGAGCCCCAAGTTAAACCCATACTCTGGTCTTTTAACCATTCAGCAGCTTTAGGCATACCAAGGTGACCTTGGGTTGTGAACCATGCTTTGGCCCATGGTGGTGGGGAACCATGTCATCCAGGGCACAGCAGTGGATGCCGCTGATGCTGACCCAAGAAGGCAAAGGCCCAAATGACCTACACCACATTACATTCCCAGAGACAGATTGTGCTGTGCTGCCTAAAACTACAAGGCTACTACTGCTCTTGGTTCACTTTTCTCTTCATGAATTTCACTTGCACCCATAGATCCTAGTACAGGAGGACTGAAAAAAAAAAAAAAGAATGGGCTACTTGGTTTTAGTCAGCAAATGCAAGATTAAGAACCAGTTTATTCTTCCCCTCTAAGAGCAAAAAATTCTCAGCATCCAGCACTTACCCTCCAGAGACCTCGTGTGCCTTCCTGCTGGTAAATATCAATGAAGCTTCCAATCATGCCTCCCTGAAATAAGCTACCTTGAGCTTGCATTCGAATCTGAAAGATACAGAAAACTCAGTCAGCCAGCAGCATATGACCATCTATCTAAGTAGCATTAAACGATGGACGGAGCTCCTACCTATGCTCCGAGTTATTGAACCACTCAAAGCATAAGCACCATGCAACAGGCCCACAAAAGGAAGTGTTAGGTGACCAGGAAACTGAATGCCAAGGAGTGGCAAGTGGATGATAGAAGCAAGGGGAAACATGGGAAGCTTGTCTGACCCTGTCTAAAGCCTGACGGAGGGCAGTATGTTTCAGAATTCACAAATTCACTGTTCAGACATGGAACAAGATCAGGGAGGACATTTCTGTACAGCAACAAGGCCTCCTAGACACAACTGATGCAGGAAAGGAGTGGATCAGGCAGCTCCTGCTAGCTGCCACTGATGGCTAGAAAATGACATTTAGAGGTTTGCTTTTAGGAACTGGCTTGTAGGTAAAATATATATGCAACAGAATAATGGCCCAGGGCATCAGCAAGGGTTAAATGATTTCTAAAGACCTGGTTGGCACACAGTTTCATAGCTTTCAGGGCCGGCAGGGTGTCTAACCCAGGCAAGCAACAAGGCCAATAGATATACACACATAGCCTGGGAAATTATGGGCATATACCACACTGTTCCATAACATGAGATAAGGTGGCATCAGCTCACAAGGCCCAAGAGTGGGGGTCCTGAGAGTTCTGGTTTTGCAGGAGCAGACCAAATTAAGAAAAGACTCAGAAAGCCCAAATTAGGATGTGTGCATATGATGGGTTTGTAAAATAAAGGAATATGCTGACAGGACAGAAGTGTTGACAGTATGACAACCACAGAAAGACCAATCAGCAATGCCCACAGATGAAGTGTCATCAGGTGGGGAAAAGAATACAAAAGAAGGGACTTTAGAACAGAAAAGGGTCCCCGAGACCACATGAAGAGGTCCCCGAGAGGAGAAACAGAAGGCATGCCCATCTCATCCACGCCAGGGGGAGGCAGAGAGAGAGAGAATTGGTTTCATTATTCTTTTATGTTATCATTGTGTATCAATAAAATTTGCCTATTATCGAACACAAAGGTCGTAGTCAGTCTGAGGGTTTTGGGTCCCCTCCAGAACAAGGGAGCTGGATCATAAATCCAGTGCCAGCACCACAAGACAACTACCAGGGGACTGCAGGTCAGGAGTAAGAGCATCAGCAGAGTCATGTTCAGTGCTCGTGGAGGAGACTTAATGCATATCTGGCTATTGCTCAGCACTCACACTTCTGCCCATTTCACTCACTATTAGGAAAACATGTCCCTTGCATTATGGCACTCCACAGCTTCTCTCATCTAAGAGCTCAGCAGTAATATTCTCCACTTCCTTCTCAACTCAGACCTCTGCTCACTTTCATGCCTACTCCCATCCAAAAAGAAGTGCCAGGTTTCTACCAACAAACAAACATACAAACAACAAACAACACTTAGTCAGTAGTTGGAAGACTGTTCATTCCAGCTAGAAAACAAGTAGCTTCATGGGAAAAGAATAACCTCAACAGGACAGAAACAGGTCCAAGTTGGGAGCAGTTCCAGGACACAGGCACTTCTTACCTTCAGCACATCTGTCGGGTTGGCAATTGCAGATGAGATGACTCCTGAAACCACTCCACAGATCACATTGAGCAGCAGCGTCTCATCTGCAATCCATAACGGGGAGAGAATATCAATACCCAAAGAGACAACATAGAGACTTGCCAGAGCAACTAAAAAAGCTTAGGGGAGAAGGAGTGGAAGAGTCCAGCTCCTAAATCACAGAGCAAAGCTGCAGAAGCAGAGACCAAATAATTAAATGCAAGTTGTTGGCAAACCCATTGTCCTTCCCTTAGCTACCAGGGCCAGAGGGCAGCGGCTAGGAGACTGGACTGTTCACAACATTCTCCAGTGGAGGAGGAAGTCTGTGAACTCTAAGCCAGGCAGATCAGGACTAGAGCAGATTGCAAAGTAGTTAACTGCAAATCAGCATCCTTTGCGACTTAAGCCTCCTCCAATGCCATTGGTGAGTTGATCTTGGATAAGGAGAATGATTTCAAAATACTTTTAGGAGTCACCCAGTGCTGGAGACCTTTGAGCAGGAATCCATCTTATGCATACAACTACCTCCAGAGAACAAAGGCTGAGCAATCCAACAGAAGGAGCAGTTAGTTCAGAAAGAAAAGCTTCCAAGACCAGAGTTAAAGTACTGGTTAAGCTGTAGGGGTGCACCGATAGGTTTTTTGGGCCAATACCGATAGCCAGTTTTTAAGGAGGCACATTGGCCGATACCAATCCAATTTCCGATACACAGCCCAGCAGCTTGAAAAGCAGTGTTTGGCTAGTAAGTCTGTTGTGGTAGAAGGAGAGGGGCAGCAGATTGAGGCCCCTGCAGTGAAAGACAGAGTGGGGATGGGGCAGGGGCTGAGGCAGGTACTGCACAGCCAGGGCAGGACAGGGTGTGAGACAGAGCCGTGGCTCGTTCAGGGGGGTATGGGGGGGCCCTTGTGCCCCTGGATTTTTGCAGCGTGGGCTGGGGGCAGCTCTGGGCTCTTCCCAGCGGGAGAGGGACCATGGTGATTTTTGGGGTGGCTGCAGCCTCCCCCTGTAGCTCCAGTGCCCACCCCAAGCACAGCCTGGCCCAGCTCCCATTGGGAAGAGCCCGGCATCGCCCTGGCCCAGCCTGTGCAAACTGAGGTGCACAGGCCCCGCCTCCCCAGACAAGCCACATCTCTATCCTGCACCCTACCCTGACCCAGCTGGGCAGCACTGCCCCTGAGTGGGGCAGCGCTGCCCCAGCCCCACTCCCTCACCGCAGGGACCTTGATCTGTCCCCTCCAATGCCCCTTCCCTTCTACCATAAGAAACTTGGAGAGCTGCACGCAGCTCTCCAAGCTGCCAGGCTGCGCTCCTCGCCATCTACGTGCTGCACTGCGGCTGCACGCATGCATGCATTTAAATCAGCCACATGAGGGGGAAAAAGCCGATGTAGCCAATTTTCTTTATATCGGTGCACCTCTATTAAGCTGGAAAAGAGGCAGTGGTACTGACCGCAGCATTCTCCAAAGGAGACCTGGCCACTAGCAGCCCCAAGCCTGCAGGAAAACAGACATTTAGAAAACAGTACCCAGCTGGAAATGCTGCAGCAAATCACAGGTGCCTGTAAGCCCCACATCCAGGCCACGGAGTTAAATGTGGAGAAGTAACTTTACTTGGAGGCAAAGCAGCACCCAGGAGTTACTAGTAATGCATCTTCTACCATGCTCTGTGTCTGGCTTCTCCTTCCTATCTCTGCCCTTCGCTTTCCCCATCTGGGACTTGTAGATAGGGACCAGCCAGATTCACAGCAGGAGTGGGCTGTGCAGCAGCTCCTTTAATCTCAAAGGTTCCCACGTGCACCCCTATCACCGCTGATTGGTGGAGGGGCCCCGCTGCTCATCACTCACTCCTCATCGGCAGGAAAGCAAAAACCACAGTTTTAAATATGGCGCCATTTTTGCCACTCACCACTGATTGGCCAAGGAGCCCTGGCAGCTCCACTGTTTGTTGCTGACCAGTTGGGAGGCGAAAACAGCGCCATACTTAAAATTGTGGTTTTCACCTCCCCGCTGATCAGCAAGCAGCAAAGCCCCTCTACCAATCAGAGTTGGGGGGAAAGGAACCTTTGAGATTAAAGGAGCCCACTCCTGCTGTGAATTTGGTAGGTACCTACTTATAGATAGCCCTGACCCACCTGTTAAATTGGGAACTGCAAGTCAAAGCCTGTTAGTATGTGTCAAATGCTCCAAGCTCCCCTACAGGCAGTCCTCACACTTACCACACAATTGGTTCCTGACCCCTGACATTCCCCCACCACACACACACGTCTTAAGTTGAAACATCATAACTTGGAACCAATTTTCCAATAGAAACAATGTTATAAAAGGGTGATTGGTTCCTTTACCACCCTCACACAGCTGAGTCCAGCTGGTAAGTCTGTTGTGGTGGTAGAGGGAGGAGGGAAGGGATGTTGGGGTGCAGATCAACATCCCCACAGCAAGGGAGAGATTAGGGCTGGAGCTGGGACAGGGGCTGAGGCAAGCACTGCCCAGATGGGCCAGGGGGTGCAGGTAGGAGGCAGGGCGGAGCTGCTGCGCTGCCTCTGAACAAGCAGCATGCAGCAGTGGGAGCCACCCCGGCCTCCCTGCACCTCCCAGACCACCAGCAGTTTCATCCTGCACCCTTCTACCCCAACCCAGCTGGGCAAGCAGCAGTAAAAGGGGGGGGGGGGCATGCCTCAGGGCGAGGCAGGCGAGGCCAGGGCTGCATTCCTGTCTGGCAGCGGGTGCTATGGCAAAATTTCAGGGTGGCTGTAGCCCCACTCTATTGCTCCTGCTCCGCCACTCACCCCACCCTGATCCAGGGGCACCCCTCCACCCCCATTCCCTGCTACCACTCACCCAGCAGGGTGGGGTGGGGCAGGGGGGCATGAAACCAAGCCACTGCTCATCAGGGAGGCATGGGGAGGTCAGGGTGGCTCCTGCTGCTGCGTGCCACTTGTCCGGAGGCAGCACAGCAGCTCTGCCCCACCTCAGCTGGGTAAGCGGCAGGAGGATATAGCCCCCACTCCCAGCACCTTCTGCCACCCATCCAGAGTGCAGCCCAGCACAGCTCCAGCCCTGCCCCCCCGTGCAGATCTGGGGGCACATGCCCCCCCCCAGACCAGTAGCAGGAGCAGCAGCGAGAGCTGCCGGACGAGCTGCCAGACAGCGGGTCCCAGACCGCTAGCATGCAGCAGCAGGAGCCACCCCACCCCCTCCCTGCACCTCACCCTGGCTGGGCAGCATTTGCCCCAGCCCCAATCCCTTACTCACTGCATAAGTGTTGATCTGCCCCACCACATCCCTTCCTTCCCTGCTCCCCCACCACAAGGGACTTACCAGCTGGACACACCTGTGTCAAGCATTGTAAAGTCAAAACCAGCACTGGAACCTCGAAACAGGGTGTAAATTTATAAAGGTCATAAGTGCTGTTTGTCGTAACCCAGTCATAAATTGAGGGCTGCCTATACAGCATTGCTATTTTTCTAGCATCTAGACAGTTCTGGCAGACTCTATGGTCTATCCTAAAGCAACAAGGAGGGGCCATGTCAGGACTGTTCACTCTGCCCCATGCTTCAGAAATAGAGATAAAGCCAGAGTTTAGAGATGACAAGAGCTACTTGATGAGAGCTGTTGAGCAGTGTGGTACAGGGTTCAAAGCTTCTGGCAGGGAGGTGGGGTGTGGGAGGTTAATTACTGGGGCAATCTCTGGAGCTGGAGACGTCTTCTTCCCTGCTGCCTTGAGGAAGGAGGCTATGATAAATAAAAATAAAGACACACTGATAAAGGTTAGAGATCTTTTGGGCCTTAGTTCTACAGATGCAAAAATCAGGATCAACTTTCCTATCCCCCAGCCTATGTCTGTAAAGTGACCACCATGAGGCACACACTGTTTTTCATTAAGCATCTGGCCAGCACCAGTCACACTGGGATCCCAATCTCTGTCAGGGCTTCTAGGTTCTACTGCTACACAAATTCAATGTTACCAACCCCAACATGGAGACTGCAGGAATTGGGGAACTCTCACTTTTTGGAATTCACTGGCAGGCCAGGGACAGGCAAAAGAGAACCAGGTGGTACAGAAATGAGTGAGTCTAACAATAAGAGTGCACTCTGTGCCCTTGGTGACAGCTCCAAAGGCATCTCAACAACACGGTTTGCTGACACTGACCTTCCAAACGATCCACAAACAGTCGCTTCATGCTCTGGTAAATGCCGATCTTTATGGTGCCATAAGATGCCTGTCTCAGTAAGGCGGGAGCAATCCTGCAGCAGGCAAATAAACACAAGATCCAGTTACATGCTGCAGAGCCTGCCAGCCCCTATGCCTACAGCCTCCAGGACAGCTCACCGCTCCTGAGGCAGAGGTGCTAGTGTGCAGAACACATGCTGCTCACACCCACTTTGTGGGCTCCAGGATATTGAAAGGTGCAGTTCAGTATGTGGACTTAGCATTGGAACAGTTCCTCTTTTTGCCAAGACAATACCTACAACCAGGGCCATCCCTAGGGGGGTATGAATAGGGACAATTGCCCTGGGCCCCACATCTGGCTGCTCGCCCCTGCCCTCACCAGCAGCTTCTTTGAGTCCGGGAGCCGAGCAGAGGCAGGGCCCCGCATGGGCTGATTTGCCCCGGGTCCCGCACCCTGCTCAGGTCATCTCTGCCTACAGCTGCTGTAGCAGACTGCCTACAATATACAGGCCATTTTAACCAGGCTGGTGGCAAGTCCATGTGGACCCAGCCTGGATGGCTCTGGATGGGCCAGTGGTGAATCACACAGTAAATTTGGACCAACCACAGGTTTAAAGTAATTATCATGCCAGAAAAACATCCCAGGGCTACAAAAAGAGCCAGCCACTAAGTTACTGCTTTAAAATGTGCAACAACTCTAAGATGACTTCTATCTAGCTTACATTTGAATGCGAGGCAAGGCAAGGCAATGCAGAGCAGAGCAAACGTCAGCCACGAGGGCAAAACACTGCCTGCGGCTCCCAGCAGAGGCCTCAGGCCCCCCGTGGTGAGTCAGACCCCAGCAACCTTCTAGGAGGAGCCGGCAGCTGTGCTGGAGCACGCCCCGCAACCCAGCAAGGACGCTGGGCGGAGTGGGGGGCTGACTGGGATGGCGGAAGTGACCGGCAGCGGGCACAGACACCCCAGCCCGGTGCAGCGAGGCAGCCAC